GTAGGTATCGTGGATGATGCCGGCGTCGACCACGGCCAAAAATAAATTATAAGGGAGAGCGCGGAGAATTAAGGGTATTCTTTAGCACTGAGGGCAGAGATGGAGATTAAATTTGGGAGTTTAGAGCCAGTCTTCGAAGTTCATATCATCTCTGAGAGGGCGTATGTCTGTCGGTGCTGTCACCAGTGTGGAAGAGGATCGTAGGTCTCCTCTTCCTTGTTCCTAGTACGCTTAGAACAACCCGGTTAGTTTAATTTCAACATAGTTATTTGAAGAAGTGGATAGGGAGAACGAGTACAGAGTTTAGTGGGGTGAGGCTTCGCAACCGCTCTTAGGCTCGCAGGTCATCGAGTCTGTCACCAGGTTCGAATTGAATTCGAGTGTATTAACTAATAACCTCTCCCATGCCTGCGAGAAAATAAGGAGTTTACTGTTCTTCTAGATAATTTTATCCAGTGGCACAAAGCAGTGTAAGACTCCTCAAAGCCTGCGTTATAGGCGAAATTTTACATCCAAAATTATAAAGGGCTCTCTAACATTCTTTTGGGTTGTAACAAATTGTTGACGACTTTCATGAGGAGCGTTGTAGGAGAGGGGCTGAGATGGATGCTGCCGAGTATCTGGTGTGTGGTGGTCGGCGATCTAGTGAGAGTGGCGGTAGGTTGCCAAGGTGCGTGAAGCTACTGCTTTTTGGCTCTCTGAGCTAAGATCACATGCAATATTCGCTCTTTGTAGTCCAATTTATGAATCAGTACATAATTTATGATCAATGGAATTACCCTTACATTTCCATCAGGGACGGATGCCGTGAGCTTGCCCAACCCTACTGTCGAGTCAACATCGCATTGCATTATCTCGAGGATTAGCCCCTTATTCGTGACAGCCAAGACACAACTGGAGGTGTCGCATCTTACGACTAGTTGCATGCAATGTGTGTGCTTGAACATACAAGTGAAAGGGAAAGGTGGAACAGGAGACATTTTTCTAGCAAAACTCTCCACCGCGCAACGTCGTGTACATCCTTCTACCTCCTCTTACACTCGAAACAGCACAGCACAGGGTAGAACAAATCAGCAGAGAGGAGGAAAGCAGTGCACACGAAACCGCATTGCACTTCTCCATCTCACCGCATCCCTGGTCTGTGTTAGCCTATTGATCCTGCAGACTGCACATTGACGGGCTGTCAAAAGTCAGTGG